GCTTGCTTCTTAGAGTTTCTGGAATCAGTTTTAAAATGCCATCAAATTCCATATTTGGTCAACTCAAACCTCACAGAACAACAACCGGCAAGCAGCTCGGGTGTCATTCGACGCAGCTTTTTCTCCTCTTTTTACCAGTTGTTTTTGGTTTCCGATTCGTCAAGTTTTCCGGAATAAAACCATCATAATTCAGTTTTTCCAAGGCGCCCCAGGCTGTACCCAGAATTTTCAAAAGTTGCCAATCTGAAGCGGCAAACGGTCATTTGCTTTGTAAAATTAGTGACAAACCATAATCCATCTTTGTAAGTTTCAAAATCCGAGGATTTACTGGTGTTTGATGCATTTGTGTCTGAGACGATCCTGCTAAAACTCGGTGGTTTCATCAAAAAATCTGTACAAAAATTATGACGACCTCTGGAAAGTAGAAAAAAGTTGTGCTGTTTCCTGTAGGCTTTGCTCCATCCATCCATTACTTGGACTCCTTCTGAGGTTTGTTATAAAATTTTAGAAAAATTGTGAAACTTGGCCATCTCAAAAAGCATAACTCGCAGATTTTGACTCTTTTCTGGAAGCTCATTGACTTTATTGCAACAACTTCATAACCATTAGAAAGAGAATGAAATGGTGCATCAAATGCTACCAGAATCCCTTACACATCTTTGTTCCACGAAATGTGGCGTACGTTTGAAAAAAGCGACATTACTTTCGGAACGACCTAATATAACGGAGTATCCAACGCGATTGGGATTGCATTTATAAAGCAAGCTCTGTCGCTTTTTTTTCATTCGCATATGTTAGAACGCAGTTAATTACGTACTTTATGGCGCGCTTTTGTGACTTTAGATTCGAAGGACAAAGACTACTGGATTTTTTTTTCGCCTGAGCAACAGCAATAAATATCATCTAACTTTGAGCCATGCTAACTGTTCCTTATGGGTGAGGCTAACAGATTCGTCATGGTTAACTCTAAAACGGATGAGTATTCACTTTTGGCTGGCATGGCAGGCACGAAATATGATGCTTGAGATTTGTAACATTCCTAGCGACTGAAGTGGTAGAAGCAATTGCAACATGAGATGAAAGTTGCTAGCAATGTTTCTATAATACACTTTATTTCGTGCTTATTTGGAAAGCGAATGCCTATTCGAATTTTCACTACTAGCCACCGGTTTGACTTGTAGGAGGCATGCGCCAAAACCGATTACAGATGCATCGGTGTGGATGATTTAAAAATTTCCTAAAATAGGAGCACTAAAACACGCGCATCCACTAGGGCTTGTTTCAATGTTTTAATTGCTGATGTTCCTCCTTCCAAATAAACTCAACATTTTTGGGAAGAGTATTTAATGGATGGCAATTAAGGCAAAACGTGCGTAAATCTTCGAAAGTACGATGGGACCTAAGAATGATTTTAGCGTCTTTGGAGCGCGGAATTATATTAGCTATACTCTCGACCTCTCTTTTTGTGGTTAGGGCGTGTACCTTTTCTGCATTGTACATCCAAATGTTGCACTCCAGTTTGAAAAAGAATGCGCATTTGAGAGGTTAACTTTATTTCAAAGTTTTGTGAATGGAAGAGAAAACCAGTAAAAGAAATCATTAATCTTTATTAAATCCTTTTTTTTACAAAAGCTACGAGGGAAGTCAGCTTGCTGCAAGGTTCGATTGAACGTTCCTTAAAATACTATCAATTTGGAGCTATATTTCATTTCTTTCTTACAGTGGGACACGGTACGGTCGCTATTTGGAGTTATGCCAGAAACAAATTTGATGCGAATAGTAAAGGACCTTTATAGGGACCTAATCACCATCATGGATGACAAAAGCAGAGTGGTACTTCATCAGAAGTTGGAAAAATAAGTTTTTTTTTTTCAAAAAGTAGTTTCGTTGGTCTGAAGATCATCATTGTTACTATCTTTTTCAGATGGATGCTTATTTGTACGACTTGAGATAGTAATGCCCCCTAGGTAACTAGTGTATTAAACCAGATTACTTAAGAGCAGACGTTGCGGCAGACAACGGTCACGGTTGTTGCTAAACGCTTATCACAATCATGAAAGGTCAGTATGCGCAATTAATGCATTTGCTAGACCGTGGCGCGCAAATATTATTAGTCTGCGGCGAGGTCAAATGCTTACACCACTGACAAGCTGCTGCGCTACTTTATCACCAGAAAAGGTCGACACGCTCGAACAGTTGCACTCGTTTGTTATAATGCCTAGAAGGTCAACACAGCATTTGCGCTATATCACTAGCGACTCTAATTGATCGACTTATCCCATCAGAGGCTTTCTGTATATGGGCCAGTAGCTAGCTGGATCGAAGCAATTAACACAGATCTGAATATTTATGCTAGCGGTTGCGAACAAGTCCATTGTCTTATTGAAGAAGAAGAAAAAATTAACTGAAGATCACGGATCACGGCTGCGAAGAAAAAAAAATCACGGCTCGGCATTTAATCCAGATTTTCACGGATCACGGCTCGGACCACGGCTCGGATCACGGACATGTATTTTTACCAAAAAAGTCACGGGTAAGCTTTTTTTTTCAAAAAAATCACGGGCGTTCACGGACTCACGGCTCGCGGAATTTAATCTAGATTTTCACGGATCACGGAAATTTACTAAGCGAAAATTGACATAATGGGACTGTTCGCAGGACTGTATATTTTTATATTATTTTATTTTTCTGAAATGATTAGATATGTATAATTATTTGTAAATAAGTAAATAGAATGCTATAAAACTCACACACTCTCTCTCATTCGTTATTGAGCGACTCCTTCCATACGATCGGAGGGTTGTAGAAGAGGAGGGGGGGATTAGAAAATTTTCTTTTATATCCCGTATCAAAAGTTCTTTAGAATAAAATCACATCTTAGAATTCTAAAAAAATATCTCCCTGGGACTTCCATGTCAGGATAAAGGCGTCGACTCCCTTCACCTGATGTGTAGCGGGGTTTACATTAGTATTACTATAATCTTTATGATACAAACTATATACAGAAAGGAAAAGAAAAGGGGGGAAGAGGGAACCGTCTCCTGACGGCGGGCGGAGGTCACTGCCAGAGGTTCGTTATCTTAGGCCAACCTCCATCGCGAGCAGCTGTTGGGTAATAGCTGCGTCCCGACAAAACCGCGTTTTCTCAATTATTCGAGTTTCGAATATTATCCGAAAATGGAAGAACTCCGAATATCGAATTTCGAATACGAATATATTCGAATGTTTTATTTGAATGATCGAATTTCTATTTGATTCGGACCCAAGTATACTAGCCACGAAATAGCTTTGATATTCAATTGAGCAGCTCAAGCAGACGCAAGCACCATATTCAGTACAGTGGGAGTCGTTCGACGAAGCGAACATAATATCTGCAACGAGCGTCATACAAGCGCTCGGAGGAATTTCGACGAGATATGCGATCTTTACATTTTGGGCAAAATTCATGAGGACGTGTTTTCGTAGGCTCGTAACTCGGCCAATTTCACAGATTGGAGCCTGAGTAATGCACCCTTCGATAGCACAGTTCCTAATAACTTTGGCTGAGAAAAGCAAGCAGGCAAGGTTTCTGACAGATACGCGAGAAGTGCGGCCAAAGTTACGCACTTTCGTGATGCAGTTACAGTCTCTCAGAGTATCTCTCCAAAAAGACCCTGTAATCCTCAAAGACCACGATTTTCGTAAAGAGCGTGTTCGAAAACCTCTATAAGCGAAGTTTTCTTACAATTCAGAAGCATCAACATTTTGACCAAAATCCATCGGCAAGCTTCTGGAGCGTAAAAAGAGAAAAAATGGAATAACCCGAACATATCAGAAAACTTGCTCACAGAGGTTATCCGACCTGCTGATTTCGAAACTCACATCTGCTTAGCAAAATAGCTTCGTATCCTGGGGCTATGGCGAGTAGAATTTGAGACGACAAGATTTTTCCACAATTCACCAGCCGTTCTATTTCTTTTGAAAAGAAAACTGCGGCTACTATTTAGCACATCATAATCTACAGAAAAGGTGCTATCGAAAGATCCTTGCTGGAATGTACTCGGGACAATGCTCGCTGCTTTACACCTTCGCGAAAAGACGTCCTCAGAAAGATTCAAGGATACTGAAATCTAAATATCAAGGAGATGATGTATATAGGAAGATTCGCCTTGATGAGCTGAGCAAGGTGCTGTTTTCGGATTCAAAATATACTTATTTCTAAGGAAGTTATGGCGAGTAGAATTTAAAAACGCGTGATTTTTCCAAAATTCACCAACGCTTCTATCTCCTTTGGAAAGAAATCTGAACCTATCTTTTAGCGCACAATAACCTACAGGAACAGTATTATCGGATAGCACTCAGTAAAGTCTTCTATGTTGGGTAAGCGTTGCTTCACATATTCGCGAAAGGACCTCCGCAGAACAAATTGAAAAAACTGAAAACGGAATATCGAAGACATCGTACCCCCACTTCCAATATATCAGAAGATTCTCCGCGCCGAGCTGAATCGAATGGTGGCTCTGGATTCAGAATTCGTCCGCTCTGAAGCGAGATATGGCCACGCGACGCTGATGTATGGACATGTCCATACATGTATGGACATGTACGGACATGTACGGACATGTCCATACATGTACGGACATGTCCGCACATGTCCATGCATGTCCATACATTCGCGTCTAATTTTCAAAAAATGTGAGCGGTATTGTACACCCATCTACACGTTTTATCTCAAGTGGCGAATTTGACTATATCTCCCCGCTAGTTCCTTTCATGGGTTTTCAGGGGTACCAAAGCAAGCAAATTCTCGCTTGCAACTGAATTTCACCTTACTTTTTGGAGCTCTAAGTGTGAGTTTTGAGCCGTTTACACAACAAATCAGACAACCAGCCTCATCAGTTTATCAAGGTTAGCGAACACCTGTCACGCTAAAGTGAAGCAGAAGCTAGTCACAGCGCTAATTTCTTTATTTCAGAAAGTTTATCAAAGTGCATAACAAGCATATTAGAAAAGTTTTTATTCCGACTCTCTTTAACCTCCGTTTAACAGACAAGAATTTAAATAAAATATAAATCTAGCAAGCTAAGGTAAGACACTTCAAAAACAAGATATTCTAGCAGAGGTCAAGTTGGCTACCATAACTCAGTATTGACGTGTAGCTTGAGCACTATTTGTTGCTCGTTGGTAAGATTGGAGAGGTTGAACTTAAGCCCGCTAAGAATTTCTACATCTTTTATCCGTGCAGTGTATTGTAGAAGCAGCTCATTTTTATCCTGAAATTGATTTTGAAAGCATTTCCCTCTCATACGTAACCTTGATTTTTACCAAGCAGTTTGGATCACCATCCATGTGAGGTAAGATGAAAGACAGGACTTTTGTACGTTCCAAACTTTGACATTGGAGTCCGTCCGAAGACCACTTGCCATTGCAGGTTATGTGTATGCGATAAATATGGGTAGGGTAGATCCTTAATTATCTCTACAATTTGTCGTACTAATAGAAAATCAATACTTTCTGAGCCTCTTGATCGTCTAAAAAGTCATTAGCAAACAACTGTAAAACATGAGAATCTTGATAAAACCAAGTGATTTCAGCTTACGCAGAAAGCTGGAACGCTGCATATTCTCTTTCATAATTATCCTCATATGCAGTCCCCGTAATTGATATCACTCGTCCATATCTTTTTACAATATCCCTCGTATACTCATTGAGTGGCTCGAGAATTTCTGAAATAAAATTAATCGGTCAACAGGCTAAATAACGCCGATAAAGACTTACGCAGACACCAACTTACCTTTGACAAAGTTTGGCTTCCAAGGAATAATGAGACTGTGCTCGTTGGCAAGCACTAAAATTAAACAATCATCACACTCTATCTGTTCCCTTGGAAGAAATTTTTCGAAAGGAATAAAGTTCAAAAAAGTTTTTTTAAAAAAGCATTGTTCTTCTAATTTCAACCTACCAATTTCGCGTTCTAGGGATTTATATCTTCTAAGCTTTTCCTTCTAACAAAACAAGGATACTTGGTGATCCCTGCCATTTGGAATGCGATGTGTGCCATAAGGTGCACTCAAAACGCTGATTCTAAATCTGTGCTCGAAGTCTGCGAAACGTTTTTTGAAGGCAGTTATGAACTTTTTTCGTAGAAAATTTGCCTTTTAGGTAGTTAAAATCACCCAATTTGATCTATTTTACCGTTTGAAGCTATAAAGGAGAATATTGAAAGATGTAACGTTGTAATTATACCTATCTAAATCATATTTAGCATTTGAAGAGGAAAACAAAATTTTTGTCAATGATTTTCACCTTCCGCGGTAGCGCAAATCATTATTGAAAAAATAGATATAACTCCATCCAGATTCTCGTTTCGCAGATATGGAAGACAGTATTCGAACCAGCATTAAAAGGCGCATTTTTTGATATACAAACCATTATGAATGGGCGGGGTCACCAAGTATCCTTACCTGTTAAGTTAGGCTCCCGTTAGAGTGCCGGAGTTATGCCAGCGCTACGCCAGCATTTCGATCGATACACGTGTATTTCGTTGGGGACATCTACCTGCTGAGCTAGCCCCGCCCCAACGAAATACACGTGTATCGATCGAAATGCTGGCGTAGCGCTGGCATAACTTCGGTACTCTGGCGGGAGCCTTAAGCTTGAAAACTTGGGTTAGCTTTTTTGTGCCTAGTGTTCCAAGAAAATGCGGATATTGGTAGTTGTGCTTGATATGATAGCATTTTGTGATTACAGTTTTCTAAATATTTGGAGTTGACTGGAAAAAAGCTCATGTTACTTTGTTTTTTCAATGATTCGAACGACAAGTTTAGGCAAGCGAACTTATCCATCCAAAAAATATCTTCAAGTCTTTTTCAATCTTTCAACATGCTATATTTTGTATTTACCTCTGCCAGGATACGCTGAAAGCGTTCGGTATTTTACAGTCTCGTTGATGATGCTGGTCCTGCATGGATGAGATGTTTCAATCAAAGGAAATGTGCAGTCTGCGCTGAGTGGTTGCTCGTTGACTTTATCATTGTCGTACGTCTCAATGAGGACAGCAACATATCCTGAAAAAGGCTTTATAATCTTCACCCAAATGTGAATTTCAACGACAATTACATTATTGCTAGTATTAGGTTGACTCGAAGATCCTGTTGCTCTAGAAAAAGCTTTTTGACATTCAAACTGGTTCGCAAAATTTGAATTTTACAAAAAAGAAAGTCGTGCATTTTGTGATAGCCCTTCAAAGGCTTTTTAACGGGAAGAGTTATCAAAGATTGAAACCGATGAAGAAACAATTATTTTAGATTCAGCAAAATTGAGTCCTAGAAGTTTGAAACCTTTAGAACTTTGGGACTAGTAAAACAGGTTTCATGACTTATCTCATTCTGACGTCAGAGAGGTTCGAATGCTCCTATTTGGAGTTATCAAATTTTAAAAAAATTCAAAAGAGGAAAGAACAAGAAAAGCGGCAATAAATATTGAAGCAGTCGATTGCATGGATATTACAACGTACTTGGAAGAAGAAAAGAAATATTAGGTCGTTCCATAAGTTCGTAGCGTTTTTATTTTCGTATATATCTTTGAGGTGCGGTTGATTTGCGGCGGAATGCATATATAGTTTGGAAGGGCTGATTGTGCTCTTTGAGATACATCTACTGATTTCGGTGAAAAGCTGATTCACTCGGATCTCGCAGCTTCCAAAGATGGAAATTTTGAAAGGCAAAAAGGAGCAATTTCGGCATTTGAGCCTTTTTCGTTATGAAAAGAAGCGTTTTTGCACAGATTTTTGTGTCGATTATGTAACGTGGCGTTTGTTCATCAATATAGGACAAAAAAGAATTGATTGATACAAAAGAGCAGGAGCTGAGCAGGATGTCCGTGAACAAGACTTTTCGGGGGACGGGCAGGACGTCCTGCACTGGATATTGCTGGACAAGTAGGCGACGGTCAACCACACTATAAGCAATCCAACTACACGGTTTAAACCAGGTCCTACCGCAGAAAAAGCCTAACAGACAAATCCAGTGAGTTTTTCTGCATGACGAAACATGGCCTCATACGGCAAACGTCGTCAAAACTGTCCTGCACGATTTGACTGGAAGGTAGTTCAGTACCCAAAATACTCTCCAAACCTCGCTCTACCAGATTATCATTTGCTCCGCTCTCTGGCAAATCTCATGAATTGTGCATGTCCCGATTTCAGTAAGCAACTTGAGCGCTGGTTAGATGACTTCCTTGGGACCCGGCGCGCTGCCGTTTGAAAAATTGAGGTTGAGAACAAGAATGTGCCAAAAGGTTGTGCGCTACAATCAGGAATATAATTTTGAGTAATTTTTAGTGTAAAATGATGATTTTGTTTGTTTATAAAAACGCTACGAACTTATGGAACGACCTATTAGTTTCCCAAGCATTTCCTGTACATTTTTTGATGTTTGAAAAGTAGAAAACAAAACTTGCAACCAACTTCCGGGCCAATTTAATTCTAATATGTGTGTAGACTCACCATTTTCTCTTGCATTGCTTTTTACGGCCAATTCATTGCATCCTGTTATGTAACAAAAGGTATCTACACCGTTTATATCTGAAGTTACGGATAATGCCTTGAACATTTCACCTTTGCGGCAACTGGCCCAGTTCGTAAACTTTTGCTGGAAAGTTCTTGATGACAAGGTCAAATAAAAATCAAAAGCAACCTTGTCTGCTGCAGTGCAGTATCCACATGTGACTTTCAAAAAATGTTTATTCGATGCATCAGTGCTACACTCTCTAAAGCAAACATGGACACGAAAAGTTGTTGATGAAAAGCCTTCACACCTCACTGGAAAACCTTGAACCTTGTTTGGAGTTTCAACGAAGGAGACTAGCGCCATGTTCATAAAATCTGGTTCTCCGTCATTTTCTTGTGCCGGCAGTTGCAACAGTTCTTGAATATTAGATGTCCGCTTCGATTGAAAAGAAGTAAGAAGTAATTATGCAAGTGGTGGAAACAAATCGATTTTTTTATTGTCTTTCGTACTAAAAACGAGAATAATTCTGTCTACAGCACTGTGAATAGTTTAGCTAAGGATGTCTTCTGAATTGTGGCATCTTGAAAACTCACTTGTCCACAAATTCATGTATTCCACGATCATGAATGAAGGTAGCGCTGTTCCTGCTTTGAAACTAGGTCCTCGCGCGAACATTATAGCATGCATATCAGGATCAATGAAATCAAAACCGTGACGACCAATATGATCTCCTTTTATATCCGCTCGATGACTGCAATGTTATTTTTACATAATACTTCGGCCATTGGTCAGGGAACTGGTGAGTTTCGAAAATAAAGCATACTTTACAAAGCCTAAGTGTTAATTTGAAAAGTGTGGTTGTAAAACATTAGAAGAGTTCGATGCAATAAACAGGCTCAAAAGTTTTATTCTTCATTGGAAAGAAGTCACGAACCATGAGTGATATGTAACAGTGGATTAAAATGGTTGAGTAGAAGACTGTCTACTTGTTCACTCATACTTTAGATTTTCAAGTTTTTTTAGCTACGTCTAGAATTATGTCTGAATAAACGATGAATGTGAAAGGCAAATTGCCAGATGTAGGAATTCAAGTTTCCAACCAATCCAACTGGGGGCGAAAAAGCTTCCGGTCTGACTCAGCTATGCAAAAATGTTCAGATTCCTAATTGTCCAAAAACAAGCATTATTTTTGCGCGAATTTCTTTCTAAACCAATGTAGTGTTGCATTTTTGTTATGTTGTCTACTCAAAAACAGCTTCCGATGAACATCGACAACCATGTTTGTCACTCTTAAAGAGTAGGAAATTACGTGAGGAACCTATATTTGCGTTTTCAGGGTAATTGTTGATATGTTTCAGTAAAGGTCTTGTCTGTAAAGCTTTCGTAGATCTTCAAGAGAATGTTGTAGGGCTGACTTCAACCCATTACAAAAAAAAATTATTAGCGTTCAAAAGTTCGATACTTTCATTTTGAAACACTATACTTTTTCACTTCACCTAATTCACCCAATTTTTCCACAAAGCCAACTCGAAGTGATAAGCCTTTTGTTTCGGAGCGAATGAAGTGGAGAAGGCATGCGCCAAAGACTTACACATATGTTCTGGATCCTTTTTTTCCAAGAACAATAAGGTCGCCAATCCTTTCTGATTTACTACAATGCCATCTAGCCGGAACTGTTGTCCTGTTGAATGCACGAAATTCATCTGTTCCTTTGCATATCAATGTATTTAATATTTCTTTGTCAGTCAATGCTGCAATCGAAATCATATTGAATCGTAAATGCGATTTGGTACTGTTCTATCCTTCTTGAAGAACGCAAGGTTTGAAAATATTATGAACATTGTGTATATGCTATTGGCTAGAAATAAACAAGAAAACGAGTTATGACTCCTATGCAAAATTAAGCTTGTAGATGTTTCTAAAAATAAGGATGGAAGTATCTATCTATGATTGTAAAATAACAACTTACTGGAGCCATTTCGAAATATTAAGGTAGTAGCACCCTGAAAGATTACAAGACCATTTATGTCGAACAACTCCTCCAGTACAACACGATTCTTTATTTCTGCCATTCCTTAACTCGTTTTTAGGCTATACAACAAATTGCTGCAGTTGAGGATAGTTGAGGAAGTAACACTCACCATGATCAGATAGTATGACTAGGTTGACGCAATTCAGCATGCCTTCCTTGCTCAATTTTCGCAGAAAGCGCTCAATGGATTCGTCTACCGATCTTATTGCTGCATCCAGCTGAATTATAAATGTTGAGGGTTGTCATTGTAGGGATTCCATTACCTTTAGACCTGATACTCGATGTCCTGCGTAATCTATCTCTGAAATATAGGTCATGATCAGGCCAGGCCTCTCATCTTCGTCAAGTTTTAGCCATTTAACCACCTAAAAATGTTTAGTACAAAAAGTTCAGAGTTTCGGAAAAGAATTTTTTTCGTAGCTCAGTTACAGCTTTCCTAGAATTTTTCAAAATAGAATCATCTCCGTTGATAAATGATATACAAAATGACATGATAAGATGTACCACTTGTTTATGTAAACAAGTTAGCTATATATAGTTGTGACAGTCGTGCACTTCTCAGTCTTGTGGCTTGCTCTCTCGGATAAAGGCTTCTCTGCATCCGCTCTGGTACCTAACAATCTCCAAAGCTTCACGAGAAAGTTCTTTGTTCTTTTCCTCCATTTTTGAGCTCTGTGAATGTGCCATATTCGGAAGCCTCTGCGCTTCACCTTTGCTGGAGTCCCACGAAAGCTCATGCCAAAAAAGGCGCCTTGCTGACGCAATGGCCCGCAGTAAACCCCTTCTCATTCCAACTCGGCTGGGGGCGGGCCTACGTTGAACGTAGAGCGCCTAACTCCGGCATCCGGTGAGCCTTCGATCAGGATTCGGATCGCTTTTTAGACCCAAAGATCTTGTACGTTCTCAAAAAATGAACACCTTGAGTGATCTGGTCGAGAGGCTAAGTGCATGGGTTTCAATGAGAAAGTCCATGGTTCAAAGCCGGCTAGTGGCACATTTTTGCGCCACCGCAGGACAATCTTTGGTAGCGGCCGCTATCGAGAAAAATCTATGGCGACCGCTGTCAAAGACATCGCCAAGCAAACGATGGATAAAACAAAACTACCACATTTTGGCTAGGAATTCATGGAAAACAAAAATTTTTGAACATAGAGCAAACAAAAAAATCAAAAAATCTTTGTTTCAAGCAGTCCTTGAAGAAAAAACGTAGTCAAGCCCTGAAAAAAGAAGAAATCCAAGAAATCCTGTTTTCTCGTTTTTCGCCGCAATCAGCTGTTCATCGATCCTCTCCCATTTAGGCCGCCGAAAACGTGCAATTTTGGGAGTTTTGCACCGCAAGAATACGTCGGCTAGGTTGTCTCGTAAGTTACTCACGAGCAACTTACGGGAAATTTGTCTGGTTCTCCTCTTGAGCACACTATTTCTCTCGGGTTACCCTGAAATTCAACCTTGGATAAGTGGCATTCTGGTGAACTGACTGTGACACTTGACCAGACGATCTTCTGACTTTGAACTGATTATCCTAAAGCACGGGAAGGTGGGCGGGATTAGGGTCACCCGAGGAAGTTCTTCTGAATGACTAATCTGAAGTCACTTGAGATGAATGGGGGTTTACTATACTACGGGCCAATGTTAGCATTCAAATTTCGTTGACTTTTATTTATTACGTAAAGCTTTATCAATTCAAATTTCGCAATAGCACAAGAACAATGGTTGTTTTTTTCAAGGTCACAAGCAAAGTAGCTTTGCTCACTGATACAACTCAGCAAGTGTCTTCGGAGCTGCAGAATAACGAAAAGTATGAGCTTAGCTCTGATTTTTCCACTTTTTGGAATGCTTCAACTTGGCCCAAAAAGTTCTCCTTAGTTCCTCTTTTATGTTTCGGCTTCTCTACTAGATGTAAGACAACAGTTTTTGCACATAGTAAGCAAAGTTTACCCTGTATATTCATCGTAGGTTACCTGGTCAAATTTGTCGTCTATATTCATGTTATTATCAAACGGTACTGTGTAATGTGGTTGCATGTAATCTGAAAATCGGTAGTTGCAAAATTCTATAAATGCGCTCAAAGCTGATGTTTGTGCTTACGCGTGCTATTGTGGTAGGTTCCAATCCATGATATTGTAGCTGCTTTTCGTCCTGTCAATCTCTGGTAAATTGACCATATCTGAATCTTTCCTACAATCCTACAGCAGAAAACATGTTATCCTTTTATTTTTATTTCTTGGCGCATGGACGAAGCTTCGTGACCTAATTAAGGCTAGGTAATGATCAGAGAGCACGCGCGCGGGAGGGATGCAGTCTGCGTTTCTCGCGCGCGAGTGTTCTCTGACCATTAGGTCACGAAGCTCCGCCTTCTATGCGCCGAGACAGTTAAACCAAAGGTTACTTATTTCACATATCAGAGGCATTGCCCAAATTTCAAACTACTTCATGCGTTGCTCAAATTTCGGTGCTGATTCCACTTGGAAGCACTAATAAAGCTGTTCAAGCCTGATTACTCTAAAAAAAGCGAAATGATGGCAAAAGACTTTTGAGAAAAGGATAGCAGGCAGCATTAACTTTAGTACATATTTTCAAAGCCATCTCATAGAGGATAAGCATTTGCTGCGCATTTCGATAACCTCGTACACACCTCTGCAAGGCAGTGGCGTACCGAGGGGGAAGGAGAGCAGGACCTTTCCACGCGAATATGGGTCCTGAATTTTTTGAAATTACTCAGTTGAGTTCAAGATAGTAATGACCTGTTTATGCTTGTAAATAAACCAACTATTTTCTGAAACTTCAGATTAGTCTTGAAAAATTTTTTCAGGAACATTGCTGCCGCCACGCCCCTTTCTGAAACCGTCACTGCTGCAAGGATCTAAGTGGCTGTAAAAAACTTTGACGGAAAGCCACGCTATAGTTTTTTTAAATCGTTGGCGAATAATAGCTGCTCAGCTGAGCCTTTTGAAAAAACCGTTTTTTGATTCAATTTTAGATTTAAAAGCAGACTGTTATCGATTGAAGCAAAAAGCTTCGAAGAAAATCAACGATGATTGGCAGTGGGGATTGCATTGTCGGCTACATTATTGGACCCGATGGAAAATTCAACAAATGTGCCTGATTCTGCCTATCTTTGTTTTGCCGCAACAAGTTTTGCTAATATTATGCCTGTTGTTGTGCATCAGCAGCATAGGTGCGATAAGTGGAGCAATCTCTGCCCCTCTTGTTCACTTTTGTGCCGGCATATGGATGACCTCCTTCACCTGAGGTTGAGACTGAGAGTCAAGGCATAAACATTATAAAACACCTGTAACTAAACTTGCAATTTTTGTTTGAAAACCTTAGCATGACTGCACTGTTAGTTAGCATCGTAGCAGCACGATTGCTCAGAAAAACGCAAACTTGATACCTCTGCCTCATTCAGCGGCGTTTGAACAACGAAATGTGCTCAAAAATTGAAGGAATGTCTCAATTTTTAAATAAATAACATTGTATCAATGAGTACACATTGTCACAGAAATAAAAAACTAGGCGAAAGTAGGAAATCTGGTCTGGCCAATGACGGATGCATGTAATGTAAGAGCCCATAACTTCTTACCAAAAAGCAGCTATATAAAAATTCTCATATCTCGCTTCATAGAACAGCTACAAAAAGAAACAGTCTACTTTGATTCCTTGTGTTTTTAGCTATCGAATGGGTTATCAAATGTTGGTGCATGAAGTGTTCTTGCTCCAAAAAGCCTTGCTCCGGCGACTCACAAAAGCCGCCATATTAAGGGGGCGAGATGGAGCAGACTAAGAATTAATATCTCCACCCCATTTTTGAAAAGCCGCAATCTTTCAAACTTAACAATTAAGCATTGAAAAGCTCACGAAATAGGAACTTGAAACAGACCGTCCCTTTTTTTAACCCCCTTTACTCTGAAATGGCATTTGACTAACATGCATGTATTGGCTAAAATACCTTCATGCAGGGAATATACATCACCTCCATGCAGGAAATATACAGCGATGCTTGAAGAGCAAGATTTTGCCAGTAGACGCGGACAGTCTTTTTTTGTAACCTTCTTCCTCTCCAAAACGGAGCGCAAAAGTATCTCACGAAATTAGCTGATGTTGGTGCTGATATAATTTCATATATTTGTATTCTTAAAAGAAGCGAAAAAAGAGTAGCTTTACATCGATTCTATTAGGTCGGTCCAAAAGTTCCGGCTGTTTTCAGAGCCATGCTCAAACCACTTATAATGAAGATAGGCAAATGCTGTAAGCACTTTCCGATGTATAATTTCTTCCTTTTTCTAATGGTTGTTTTATTCAGATTTCCTTAATGTCCGCTCAGTAACTGGCAAGTCTTCAACCCATGATTTTCAAAAATCTCCAACCCATGATTTTCACCTATCTCTAATTTGACTATTTTTTAAATTTCCTTTTTCAACTTTTGGACTAGCTTTGATAACAATTGGATAGAATAAACAAAATGCAACACAATAAACTATTTTGGCTTCAGCAACTAACTCTTCAGTACTTTTTAAAATGATTTTCCAAATCCCTTAGTTTTGCAAAGTCGCGAAGTACACAATCACTTTAAACACTGACAGATCTTCAGAATTTAAAGCTTTCAAAAACAGAAAATGACTTAGCACCAATTTCAGTAAGCAACTGAGCGTTTAGCGGCTAGAAATAGTGAATTTCGAATTTTTCGAATAGTGATTTTATCCTCAAATATTGCACAAGTCAGAAAGAAAAGAATTCTATCAGAAACAGGAGAAAAAGCTGCATCGAATGACGCTTTGGATATCAGTCTTTTATTGTTTTGTGAGGATCGAGATACCCGAAGATGGCATTTGAATGCATCAGGAAAATATCTTCAGAAATTTTGAGAAGCCAGCTAGAGATGTAGAAAATGTATTTTATTGCATTTTGTTTATTCTACCCAACTGTTATCAAAGCTAGTTCACAAGTTGAAAATGGAAATTCTAAAAAATAGCCAAACTGAAGATGGGTGAAAATCATGGGTTGGAGATCCCTGCCAATTACTGAGCGGTCATTATGGGAATCTGAAGACACAACCATTAAAAAGAAGAGGAAATTTCCTGCATCGGATAGTTCTTACAGCGTTTGTCCATCTTCATTCTAAGTGGTTTAAGCATGGCTCTGAAAAACAGCGCGAACTTTAGGACCGACCTAATATATGTTTCGAGCTTTCGAATTGTTGACCGATTGAAAAGAGAGCATTCTGCATTGGAAAAGTTTTCGCTAAATGATCTCTCAAGACCAAAGCACTGAAAATTTTCCAGTAACACATTTCTACCACTCGTTCTCTTCCTTTTCACTCCCAGTCCCCGTCGACATGTAAGGAAGTGCCGCTGATCATCTTGGACACAACATTTGTCACTTTTGCCGTAACCGAGACTCTCTCTCCCCTGGACGCAACCCTGCTCTCTCTCCCTGGACGGAACCCTGCTCCCCTTATCGCACTTATGATCAACAGTACACATTGCTGCGCAGTATAGCGATTACATTAAAACTAATACACCCTGAGCGGTCTCTTTAAAACACTCTTGGAAATAAGTTTGAGATCTTTATGGGCGTTAGTGGAAAACTAAATCTCTCATAACAGCTCTTTTCATGGTAATAGAGAAAACTAAGATGCGCTTCTTGCTCTGGAACATAAGCACTGCCCCTGACTGAATTTGATGAGCTACAAATTGTCCGCAAAAAAAAGCGACACTTGACAGCATTTATTTTATTTTATATGTATTTACCGTATCTTTGATGACACAATTATTTAGACCAGCATTATCATGCAGTCAACGTAGTTGTTTATGATGTCGGCGCAAGTTTCATGTTGTGTAAGTAGTATCAGTACCACTCACGGGCTCTTTAACATATAGCTCGTCATTCATGGAGTTGCCTAGATATTCGGGTTTCGAGCTTATACTGAGGTCGTATATCGAATTACTAACTGAAAAGTAATGTGTTATCATTGATGTAAACAAACTTTAAGAACTCACCAATACCATGGTGACCTGGAAAGAAACCAGTGGCAAGAGTGATGTGATTTGCAAATGTCAAAGATGGGAATGCTGGATATACCTGAAGATTGCGTAAGAAATATGGAAGCACGAATGATAATACGTACATGTGCTGGTATTACTCTAAAGGAGCCCACAATTTGTCGATAGTTCGCTTTCTCAAATTATGCTTCTATAAAGAACTTCTGTTAAAACATGTCATTGAGAGGAAACACTGACGCGCTCGTTTTCAACGTAATCAAGATGGAATTATGAGTGAAATTGTTATTTTCCCACTCGTATGCACCCGCAAAAAAATCGAAAGTCTACTTGCACGCCTCAGCTAAGTAGTTGTAGGCCACGATGCTGTCAGTTTGCAAAAGTCCCTATGCCCAGCTAGGAATAGAGACAAATAGTGAGAGAAGTGTCGTCTGGGCTCAATGCAACCTTTTAGAGAAGAACTAAAGAGTATATAATCGTGATTCTTCTCTTATGCATCGATGCAATAAACTCAACGCACTACATACAAGTGAGCGTCAGGCGTAGGCTAACCTATTGACCTGGCGTTAAAGTATATGCAGGCAACTCATCGCACGCAGAAACTGGACGCCGTTGCGTCCGCTTAACGTAGTATGGTTTTGGGAAAAATAGCAGATGCGAGAGAAGGCGCGCACAGGGCTCGGCACATCTGGCACCGGATCAAGCTGGGTGTCGTTTTTGGGGCGGAAAGCAAAGGAGTGTCGCTTTTGCCGGTCAGATGCTCCTGGCACACCTTGCTTACAACCAAAACGCAATCAAACGCCGAATTTGGTGTGTGCATGCGCGTTGGGGGACCCAAATTATGGCCCAAAAATTTATGGAAACTTATGTGAATGAAAGCTGTGCTGAACTTCCTTCTGAATTAGCTGGCACGGTGCCAGCTGGCCGCCAGCTGAACTGGCACCGACCCTTTGCTCATAAGTTTCATTTTTCTACATTAATTGTATCTGCGCTGTAAAAGTTTACATACAGAGAAAAAACAATTTCATACTGTTTTCTTTTCGGCGTTTTAGCCGCCTGAAAAATTCTCTGTCTGCTCCGCAGTCGAAAAATCTGCTTTAATCACGAAGAGCGCCCTAAGCAAATGCAAAACACGTCAAAGAGGACTTCGTACGAAATTTTCAAGATCGACTTCGTTTTCAAATTTCCCCGGTGCCAGCTCGTGCTGAGCCCTGTGTGCACTTGATCAGAGAAACGGCGACGGCGTCCGCAGCGGCGAGTTGTATCTGCGTGCAATAATCGCCTACATTCTTTTACAGATTGTATTTACAAGTGCTGAGGTTAATAGTCTATCAAGACTTGAATGGAGCCAAGGTCTAACCTTTGCAGTAACTCCACAATCTGCCATTTTATCCATTGCTGGCTGTATCCTTTTCGACAAGTATTTGTATGCATAACCGTCCAGAGAAATAACAACGAGTGGAGGATGAAGCAACAAAAGTTTGAAAAATAACATAAATACCTGTGTCGTGGTATAAGAAGCTTACCTAACCTATTTCACTTATCTACTACGATCACGGCAAACAAGCGAGCATTCGATATGTTCTTCATCATTGCGTAGGGTTTGAGGCAGCCATAATATAGCACCGATCAGCGGAAGCATCAAAAGGGCCGCAATCGCTTAAAATAAGCTGCTTAGGCAAACACCGAGAATTGTGAATATCAGGCCGTCCCAAAAATAAATCGTTTTCTAAACAAATCCGAATGTTTTGCTTTCCTAGCAGACTTATGGTAACTGTTCGATAGAGTAAAGCAAGCTCTAAGGAATGTACACGGAGATTCACCTACGTCATGCATATAGAGCTAACGGCCACAACGAAATTTATCACCTAAAAAATTAGTTTTTGCAAAAAAAGGTTATACGAAGCTCTAAATTGGTCATTATACAGAGAATACATTGTAGTATTTATGCATGCGTTTGCTAAATTTCTTTCCCGTATAGAAATCAAGAAGAGCTAGTTCAAAAAGGGCAAACTCCACGCCATCTTCCACATATGCGACTGTGCCCTGCAAGCTAATGATATTAATTAGCCTGTTAGTGTATATTGAACTTATACCCCTGTTATACCCCTTTAGATGCTCATGAGTTCCGAATAAACCGAAAACAGTGGATTTTTTATGTTTTCGTTTTATTTTCGTTTCTTGATTCAGACTTTCTTAATTCATGTTGTTGTATACTGCAAGCTTTAGCAAGTATAATATTAAAATATGTTCTGTTAGTGCTTTCATAATCGAGAAATACTAATTTTAACATATAAATCTTCCAAAGAAAGTGACGTTTTTGCATTTTTGGACTTTCATTCTTGAATTTGAGCCGCGGAAAGAATCAGCAAACGTATATATGATTACACTATTTGCACACTAGATAACGACCATGTTGGTGGCCCGTAGACACTTTTTGGGACAAAATCAGCTTTCGGAGATAATTAAAAATTCTAGTATTTGGCCTCAAAGTCTGGAAACGGGTTTGCATGTTATTATTGTTTCTTTGTAGTGCCAGCATTGCTCTATCAAACCTTACCCAGTTTGCTGGGATTTAGCACTTTGATTCATTCAAAAAGGGGATCAACAATAAAACATTAAAAGGTGTTGAAAAACTTTGAAGATGGCTCACTTTTCTTCTTTCGTAGTATGCAACAAATCGAAAAATTCCTCATTTCGCATGCTCGGTGAGTCATCACAGCCATGTTCTGCACCATTTTGTTTGCTTTCGTTGGGCTGTAATAAGTTTGAATATTTCTTGACTTTCAAGCGACGTATAGAGACACTATCAATTCAAGTGTAAATGAGGCATTTGATCATTGTCCTTCTGCTTTTTTCTTCTCATTACACCCCAAAAATGTGTGAGGATAATGGTTTCAACGAGGCTATCTACAGGAAGACTTTGTATAAATGTTGTTATAAGAAACTCATAAATCAAATGCATTGTTTCTACAAAGACTTGTATAAGTGTTGATATAAGAAACTGAATCAAATGCGTTGTAATTTACATGGTGGAGAAGCCTAATCTTTTTGAGGCGTAAGCTGAGTGCAGCCATACGGACTTTAAATAGTTTAGTCTGTTCGACTATGGCTTTCTATCCCACCAAATGAATTTTTTCTCAATATTTGTTTTGAAAGCGAAACCCCTGCAAAATAAATCATAAAACACCAAAATTTATTGAACTAATGATGCGAATCATCTGACCTATTGGCAAAGCAAGTCATAATTGACAAATTGACGACCAAGGCGTTTCACGGACCGGTCAACATCTTTTAGATAAAATCACGCGCAATTTCATCTACAGTACACCTAGAGTAACTCTGGCATGCTGACAAAACAGTAAAGGTTGTGTCTAGATCCAGCACAGAAGAAAACTCCCGGAGTGAGTTTAACACAAAATAGTAGCCATTTCAATGATACACATTGTCAAGCCTTGACACACCATGTGTGCCAAGCGGTCGTCAATGTGTTAATTATCAGATCAAATGCAGCACTCAATGACACTAGGAAGTAGGCAGAAGAGCAACAAGAGGAATTTCAATGTGCTTGACTTGAAGCTGTAAAAATAAAAGATGAATCTTTGCGGCATGCAGGAATTTTGGCATGTGGAAATCTTGGCTACTGGTATATGGCAAACGTTCAACAGCAAGTAAAGTGCACAAGGATCTTGATAATTTTGTGTGGCTACTGATGTAAGTCGACATTCTATGGTATCGGATGTTAGTTGTCAGGACAGGGAGAGAAAACTAATCGCCACGTATTTCGAAAATTAAAAAAAACGGAAATCGATTTTGCACAACAAATTAAAGTACGGAAAAGTACGCTGTATGATGACTACATCATAAGCACATAGGAAAGAAAAAATTAATGCCCTTTTGAGTAATGCGATGAGCTCGCTGACAAAGTTTTTGATATCTCTATGTAACGCGATTTAACTAATTGCCTCATTTGTTTGTTGGAAGAATAAATCGCAATATGCTCCAAAAAGAGGTAGACAAGTAAAGCGCTTCAAATTTAAATTAAAGATTTCTTAGAAGCTATGACAGCTTATCCGATATCTGTGGGTTGGTTTCAGTAAATTTACTTACCCAGTGGGTTTGCCTGCCCAGTAGGTAAGTTACCTACTGTCGGTTTTCAGAAACGCCTCCGTCGCTAAGTTAGCTTACCCAGCAGCACTGACGTCAGCATGGTGCCCACTGACGTCTATTCAAAGCACATTCTGCCAACCTTACGGTCTGCGTTCTTACATTTTTGTAAATTTGTTCAAGTTTTTTTTTACGATAATTCATCTACAACATCTCTACTGCGTACTAAACGCCTGCGCTAGCTTACACAATTTGACAGAAATTCTTAGATCATCTTGGCCATAAGGTCTCAAATCGTCGTAGCTTTACGTTCTTATTACGCAATTATTAATCCGACCGTATCATTGACAAAGCTCTCATGATTCAGATAGTCGACATGCTCTGGTAGCACAAAATGGCACAGAGTCATAAAAGTGGAAATAAAGCATACTTTGAATTAAGACATTGAAAATGCGTGCATTTTTCAATGACACATCGATATTTTGACAAATTACTGCTTTAACTCCTTTGTCCTTTTATTTTGTTGCAGCTTCCACTCTTCTTCATTCTGTTAGCTTTTATTGCAATGTTTATTTTCAGTCTGATAGTTTGCTATCTCAAGTTCAAATGTCACAGATGTTTTGAGGTTTGAGTACTCTATGTGCGAGGTGGAAATACAATTTGTTGCATTTTTCCTGAGGTGCTCAAACTCGGTAGAGGAAAGCGTAAGAATGTATGACGAACATTTACAACGTAGTGATTGATTGAAATCGAAAATTGCATAGCAACAAAAACTACAAATCTTTTTGCGTACCATATTTTACTAAACAATAATCGCAGACAGTCAGCTTCGTATGCGATTTCTCCGTAATTCAGGAGCATTTCGAAATCTTTGACATTAGCTAGCATTAGCAATTTTCAGAGCATTTTTTGGCAAAAATATCAGTCACCATTTTCAAAAACTCGAAATATTTTTAGGAAATCTACATCAATATTTCAATTTTTTCATTGAAATATTTATAAATGGCGATCCTTCTTAAAGGAAACTATTTTTAGATATTCAAAGAAGAAGTTTTGATGCATAACCATAAATGCGTTTTCAATTTATCATGCTACTGCCAAAAGACGTTGCTGCTTCATAAAAACTTCATAAACTTTCAATTCTTCGTAGCTCATTGCAATTCTTTTCTATGCTTAGGTAAAGGGAATCCATTAGTACTGGTGTCAGAATTCCCGTGGACACAGGTGCGATAGTGCGAGAATTTTCTCACCCTCTCTTCACCCCTGAGCCGGGACCAAGGTGACCCCCTTCACCAAAAGCCGAGAAAAAAATCAACAGTGAGGTAAGGTTAAGCAAAGGAGATATTTGTAAGTGAATTGTTCATGTATAGGAAAGGAGGAGTCTGTTGAAAAAAGTGCTTGGTAACGGGTGTGAGTAGTGATTTCTGGAGATTTTCTAGTTTTTGACATAAAAAAATTCATAACTTTTGTAGGAATATCTTTCGCGGCGAGCTAGTCACCATTGAAACGGCCTCGTTTTTCGCTCTCAAAAAATATACAGCATGTTTGAGATCCGTTCAAAAAAGTGTCTGGTGAAGGATGTGCCTAGTGATTTCTGGGAATCGAGTTTTTAAGATAAAAATAATCCGTGACTACTGCAGATGAATAGCTGGTGCAAGGAAATAGTCATCGTCGGAACCCGCCTCGTCCTCCGCTTTCAAAAAATATACAGCTTGTCTGAGATCCATTCAAAAAAGTGCCTGGGTGAAGGGTGTGCTTGGTGATTTTTGAAGATATTCGAGTTTTTAACATAAAAGAATTCATAACTTTTGTGTATGAACATCTTTTACGCCGAGATAGCCACGTTTGGAACCGTCTCGTCCTCCGCTTTCAGAAAATATATACTTTGCCTAAGGCCCGTTGAAAAAGTGCCGGGTGAAGGGTGAGTGACACTTTTATAATGGGAATGCTCAAGTACAGGCTTTTTTACCATTGTAAAAAGACGTCTACTTAAGCACTCCCATTATAAAAGTCTTACCCACCCTTCACCAGCACTTTTTCTAATGGACTTCAGGGCAAAGTATATATTTTCTGAAACGGAGGATGAGACGGTTCCAGCGGTGACCATCCCGGCATCGTGGCTATCCAAGATGTTCACTTCAGAAGTTGCGGGTTTTTTCTATCCTAAAAACTCGTAAATATTCAGAAATCACCACAGTCTTCACCAGGCACTTTTTCAATAGACTCCAGGCAAACTGTATATTCTCTAAAAGCGGAAGACAAAATGGTTTCAAAAACGTTTACCTTGCTGACGTTGCTGTTTATCTACAGAAATTATGAACTTCTTGAAAAAAATTCGTAAATGCTTTAAAATTGTCTAACTCTCTCAGAAACAAATGTTCTCGCATGCACATCTTCTATGGTAATTCCAAAAACAGGCAGGCTGATGTGAAAAAGGGAAAAGGAAATGTAAAGAAATACAAGGTGCTGGTCAGAAATATAAAATGTGCTAATCCAGCAGCATATCGGTTCACATTTCAGAAAAAAGACAAACAGTGATGGTAAGGACTTGGAAGTTATGAACTTTGACTAGGAAAAATGTTGGCTCTTCCCCCCCCCCCCCCCTCCCCCGTCGATATTTTAAAGTTTCTCTACCAAGTAAAACACCTTTCACCCTGGAGGGTCTGCGACCACTGTGACCCCCTTTACCCTGGAGGAGTCATTCTCACCTTATCGCACCTGTAGTTTTGAGAACAATTAGGAAGATCTGAGTTACTTTGTTCAAAATATTCATAAAATAAGATGCGCAAGATGAGACGCCAGTTCGCCAACGATTTTCGTCACTTTTTTCGAGGTTTTCTAGAAGATTAGCTAACAAGTTATAATATCACTTAACAACAACCCTTTCCAGAATGACAGACAAGCTTGCTAATTTGTGCCTTTGGAGTGCTTTTATTGAGTGATGTCTTTATGGGAACTGAAGCAATCTTTTTGTCTTAACCGACCCAATTGTAACGGTACAGCGAAAACGCGATCGCTAAGACTGAACTCGCATGTAATCATTAAGTAATAAGTAAGTGAGTAAGTTGTAATAATCATTTGGTATCATTGAGCTTCATCCGCTCAAACTCATCTTTTTCGATGCCGGCAGGGTAAAGAAGTTGATGCAAAGTTTATTTTAATGCGAAAACCTGTTTATACACTCGCAATAGATAAAAATGCTGCATTTTTTTGCTAGCTAACAATGGATGTCAGATAATTTAGAATTGCGCTTCGAAATGAGACACACATATTTGGAATCAGCTTGGAATGCTAACTCCAAATATGCTGTACCAGCTGCGATGCGTTATTCTGAAAAGAGTTATGAGCATTTTTCTTTGCGCGATTGGCATACTACTTAACATGGGAAGGCTGCCTGTAGAGGTAAATCTGCCTAAAATGAGTGCTGGGATATTGAAATGATATCAGACTGAGTCCTTTGTCATTGGCAAATAACTTTACGGAGTGATTTTGCACCTAGATGATGGTACCGTAACGCCAGTAGGTCAGATCACATGCAAATTTTGCATTAAAAAAATTAATAACTTTCTTCAGGGTGATCCGCAGCTAGGATCAGCATATTTAGAATCAGCGCGATTCCATACGTGTCTCATCTAGAAATGCGATTTTTAGGGAAGGGGATACCAACATAAGTTGGCGATTGAGAACGGGATGTACACTGGACAGCCTTTAAACGCTGATTTCAAATCTGCTTTTCTTTTTTGCGCAACTTTGAAGGAAGTTACGAGCGTTTGAATCCAAATTTGCTAAGCTTTAAGTGACCTAAAATTGGCGCATATCTGTACAAAAATACCTGAGTGGGTAATTAATTTTGTATCAAGTTTATTGATTGCAGTAAGGGAGCAAAGCTAATGAAATCCGCATATGTGTTGTTTTGAAGCTTTTCGCTAGTTCTAGGTCACTCAATTCTTGACGAATACAAACATCCAAAACGCTCATAACTTCTTTCGCAAAATTATACAAAAAAAAAGCAGATTTCGCAGCATTTAAAGACGCGTCTAGCGATATACACCTCTGTGATTGCCAACTTATGTTGATAACTTTCCTTTGTAAGTTACCTGGCATCCCTTGTAAGCTCCTTTCCGCCAAAGTCCCGTAAGTGCAGCATTTGTCGTCTCTTACATTTCATCTTGACTTTTTTGTACAAAATTCACTAATACTTTTACTTATCAAAGACTAGCTGGCATACCCGGCTCCGCCGTATGTTCCGAATAGAAAATTCCATTTCTCAACCGATCCGAACCAAACTTGGCACACATACACTTCGGGCCCCGGCGGGTGTCACAGTCCACTTTTCGTTATCGATTGATGTCGATTTTATCGATTTTTTGCAAAATTTGAGCTACAGGGCTGGGAATTGGCACAGGGGGTAATCGAGCATGCTGATCATCCCCGTGGGGGTGATCAGCATGCTCGATTTCACCCCTCTGCCAAATCCCAGCCCCGTAGCTCAAACTTTGCAAAAAAATCGATAAAATCGATGAAAGTAATGCACGATTTTAAAAACTAATATTGTATTCGCAATCCCCATGCTCACTTACCCCCCCCCCTGTGTCAACTCCCAGTCCCGTAGCTCAGATTTTGCAAAAAATCGATAAAATCGATATCGATCGATACGAAAAGTGGCCTATGACACCCGTCGGGGCCCGAAGTGTATGTGTGCCAAGTTTGGTCCCGATCGGTTTAGAAATGGAATTTTCTATTCGGAACATACGTACATACATACATACAGACATACAGACATACATACAAACAGACATTCAGCTTTATATATAAGATGAGTTCCAGTATTTCATGCAATTTTCATCACCTGAGACGACTCAGATGAGCACTTCGTATGCAATAGCAGGAGCCCGGAAAACAACTGAAAATCTGTAGACGAATACAAATGTACAATAAACAATTTGACAGGGGCGCTCAAAGCTCTCAACAATAGTAGAGACTACCATAATTTGGAATTAACGTGCAGTTTTAGCAGCATTTGCTGCTTATCAGTCAGGTCTGTGAAGTTGAATGCAAGTCCGCTGAGAGCTTCCACGTCCTTAACCCGTGCCGAGTACTGAAGCAACAGTTGATCCTTTCCCTAAAAAAACCTTTGTGAATTCTCTCCTCATCAGTATATCAGCTCTATACCAAGCAATTCGGGTCACCATCCATGTGAGGAAAGATGAAGGCGAAGACTTTTGTCTGCTCCGGTTTCTGACAATTAGTGCCTCTCGGTGACCAGCCACCATCACACGAAATGAGTACACGATATAGGTGCGTGGGTAATGGCCTTAAGCGATAAATTTTTTTGGGGGTTTCATTCAAAAGTAGGGGTACTGTCCAAAATTTTGATTTAGTGTATAGATTCAAAAAATAGGTTTGATTAAGCACATACATACAGCTAAGAAGGAAGCCATTACTTACGAAATCAGATCTGGTCTGGAATATTTGCCATTATAATCCCCATTGTAAGCAGAACCCGTGATAGCAATCACTTTGCCAAATTTCTTAACAATTTCTTGCGTATAGTTATCCAGCTCTTTGAAAATTTCTGAAATGAGCCGCACCTTATTATTAAAGGAAAACTTGAGCTTTTTAGAATTACATAATTCGCGAGATATCGGCACAAAAGAGGATTTTTAAAGCGATCCTTTGTCAGAATGGTCAACACGTTATCCCACCTGCGATGAATTTCGTCTTCCATGGAATCCTGAGACTGTGTTCGTTGCTGGCCAAGACTGAAAAGAGTTTTATAAGAGGGAGAAGTGAATTTTTAAAAGCTTTTGCAGTCTGAAGCACTTTTTATCAATAGCAGGTTTATCACAAGGTAAATTACAATGATCATTTAGTTAGACTTAAAGGTGACTGAAATGAAGCATCACGGTAACGTCTTCTTCTGAATGGTAAAGTAGAGCTACTGCTGTTTTGTGTCTGACCTTTCCTTGAAATTATTTGTACATAAAAGTGATGATTATAAACGTTTGTGTTGAATAAATTGCTCTTAGAACTCCTTTCTCAACATTACAGAATCTCGCTTTTTTTGAGTGAGCTTCAGAAGGAACTTTTTGCGATCCAAAATCAAATACACTTCTTTATAATATAGTTTTGGATTTCAAGCTGTTGGAAAGTTGACATTCATGCCCCTTCCCTAAGCAACGCGCATAATCTAGAACGGAAGCTTTCATCAATCACTTAAACCTTCTAATTTTCACAAATCAAACAGAATTACCTCTTCCGGGATATGCTGACAATGATCGATATCCTATGTTTTTGTCAGACTTCTTAACTCCACACTTGCCGGGTCGCTCCATTAAATGAAATGTGCACTCTTCGCTAATCAATGGCTCATTTTCTCCACCGTATATCTCTATCAGAGTTGCGACATTGCCTGTAGAAGGTAAACTATACCTGAAGATCCACGTAGTAGTAATGACCAGTAATTCGCTGTAGCAAGGGGTGCGAGTAACGTCGGGTAGTAAATTTGGGAATTTTGATTGTTTTACTAACGCTTTTGTTCTCAGTGATTATTGTACCTGTATGTGCAAAAATACACTGAACAACGGCCGTCTCCACTCATTGCGTACAAGCATGTTGGTTCCTTACCAGATTCAGTGCTGTCGTCTATAACAGCTAATTCGTTGCATCCTTCCATGTAACAGAAGTTCCGTTCATCCGAAGTTATGATCATTGCTTTAAACAATCCACTATCGCGGCATTTTGCTCGAGTTTTGAACGCTCGCTGAAATTATATCTTGAAAAAGTTCTGAGTCTATTTCTTTAGGGAAAAACCTTGTCTGCTTCGCTGCATTCTCCACATGGATGAAGAGAATCCTTAATAAGGTCTCTAGTCGGGGTGCAAGCTCTAAATAGTAGTGGATAAACCAAGAAGTAAAGAATTTAGTATAGAAATTTTATGACACCTTAGTGGAATGCGCCGTTTTCTTGGTACTCCGCCACTAGATAGTAATGCCATGTTCATAAAATCTGGTTCTCCATCATTTTCTTGCGCTGGCAGTTGAAGCAGCTCTCAAATGAATAAAATTTATAAAGCTGCTACATTTCTTACTACCAATTCTGTCCAGGCTAATTCTCTCATTTTTTAGCCGCTGTTATATTTTTTCCAAAAATTATTAGTAATGATAGCTGAAAAAGAAGTTTTCGACGGCTGTTTTGATTAACAAATTAGCAACGAATACTACAAAAGCTTCAAGCACACATGTACTAGACCAAGAAAACTGTTAAGCAAACTAGATTTTCTTTGCAAATAGAATTATCGGCAGGAATAACGAATCCATGGGTAGTAAGCTTAATTTTGTAGTTCAGCTTGGATGGATAAGAACAAATAAACAAGGAATCAAGTAGAAAGTGTGTTTTAGATTTTGACATGAAAGCGGGTCGTGCACTTTTTTCACGGTATTAAAAATGTTTGTTCTAGAACAATCGTTGAGGGAAACGGATTTTCTGATTTCCACATAACTGCTTGAACATTGGCGAAATTCTCAATTTGCACTTTTGATGCAAAAATAAAATTTTGTCTTGGATCTCTACACAATTTACTCGAACTGTGAAGTTCTTTGATCTAGCCAGTCTTGTTTCGAATGTGATGTTTCCAAAAGAAAAAAAGATAATGTACGTATTATATGCTTTCAAAATTTGATTTTCATGTAGCAGGCTTTTTTAAGAAAAGAGATGAAAACGCAGTGTATATTTACAGGCAGTACCAATTAAGCACCTACTAATGTGTCTGTCTGACCCACTTATGGACCGTAGGGTCGCTACTTTTTGCAACCAGTATTGCGGCAAGTAGTTGTTTGGGATCTTGACTAATGCAGGTCCCAACGTGATATCATTACTTGAAGCAAAAGTGGGCGGTAATGCTTGCCTTTTTCTAAATTTTATTTGATATTTTCGGCTATTTTCGTTTTCCCCAATTGCCATCAGAGCTTTTTGAAACGTTTTTCTAATTATCAAAATATGGATTTTATTCACAATTTGAGTCATAAAACTGCAAACTTACTTGTCCATAAGTTCATATACTCCACATTCAAAAATGGTGGTAGCTCAAGTCCTCGCTTGAAACTGGGTCCTCTAGCAAAGAAAATGGCATTCATGTCTGGGTCTATGTTATCATAACCATGAGCACCAATGTGAGTTGGTTTAATATCCGTTCGTCGACTGCAATGATCAAGTTTAACCACAGATCAGAAACTAGAGAATATTATCGATCAAACGGTTTACAAGGGAAAGATATCAACTTAATCTGGCAAACCAAGAAGAGATGTATATCAGTAGACGCGTTTTCAAACTCTGATGTCAAACCTGCTTTCTCTTTCTGCGTAGCAACACTCCGAAGGAAATTATAAGCGTTCTTGTATTTCAATTTGTCAAGCTTTATGTGGCATGAAATTAGCGATAAGCCCTACAACAACACCTATGCGAATTTCCACTGGCTGTGTTCCTTCTTTGTAATTAATATACATAATACACAGACTTGATCATCCGAATACAGGTATTTTTATAAAGCTTTTTGCTTACTTTATGCCACTCAAGACCTGACACTTTGGACATTCAAAAATTCACATTTTCGACACTCATAACCTTTTTTAAAAAGTTGTTCCGCAGAAAAGGAAAATTTGAAATCAGCGTTTGAAGATGATATTGATACACATGTCTTTATGGTTTGTCAGATCATGCTGGTATCTTTTCCTTATTGAAGCAAGATGAGTTCTGTGCAACATCCTGACTCAAAATTTGCAGTCATCAGATCAAGAAAGTGTTTTGCTGTGTTTATAAACTTAAATAAAAAGCATTCTACTTTATATCTGCGTTTTATCTAGACATGCTTGACACATTCACGACAATGCGACCCACCGGTGGGTCGTACGTGTTCTACCGTTTCGGACAATACGACCCACAGGTGGGTCGTAAATTTAACAAAGCGAAAAAGGCTGTGGTCCGAAACGGCAGTAATCGAAAAATGGCCTTGTCGTGAATGTGTTAAACGCCAAAATTGAAGAAAAGCATTTTTGAACTGATATTCACTGCAAATTAGTCATATTAATTTTAGGGCACAACTCTGAGCACCAATGAACTAGATGTTTAGCATGAGAATAACTGCAATTCTTAGAATCTCGCAAAGAAAGTTAAATATCACTTGTGTTCAACATAAAATTCTCAAAAACTCACGTATATGTGGTGGAATCTCTTTGTGAAACCATAACAAAATCTCCAATTCTTTTTGATTCACTGAAATGGTATCTTATTGGAATTGTTGTCCTGTTAAATACGCGGTAATGATCTCCTTCTTTGCACGTCAATGCGCCCGTGATTTCTTCATCCGTTAGCTCTGTAATTTTGAAAATTATATTGGTAGCTTTCAACTTCACTTCAGATGTGTTCAATGGTATTTCTGATTTTGAAAAAAATGTTAATTATTGCAGGTAATTGCTTGTTGTACAAAATTTAGGTCAATTAAAACATGCTCCCGCACAGTTATGATTTGAGTAGCAAGAAGGAGCGCTTTACTATCTATAGTCTATCTGCAAAGCGATAGCTGTAAATTTTTGCATTCTACATTTAGTATGAAAATAAAAAAGTAAAAAAATAAAATATTAAGCCAAAAATTCAAAAATATCGCCTTTTTTCGGTTTTTGTGTTAAACTTGATATTTCTCAGCAACCAAAGCATAGAGAAGACTGAAAATTTATTGTTATACTCCCAAAGGCTTGTAATATGGAAATGTCTTGTAGGGACAATCTAGCATTGATTGATTTTGTTAGAATATGCCGAATTCTATTGTCTCAACTTCTATTCATGGAAAAATTGTAGCAAGTGTACACATGCATAGCTAATGCGATAAGTAATTTTTGTGAATCTGAACAGAGGTACGACTTTTGACATCTTAAAAATTTCAAATTTTTCTTCCTAGTTTTCGGTTATCAAACTTTCTGAGGTTATTTAAACATCATCTTGTAGGTCTTGCTTTGCTCTATCGAATGGTGGGTTTCTCAAATTTTTCTGCCCCTTAAGAATAAGAAATAAGCATTAATTATGCATCGACTCAATATTATAGGGTATTTACTGTTTCTAAGTGAAAGAAATACTAACTGGAGCCATTTTTGAATATCAGAGTATTGGCACCCGTTATGACCACCATACCGTCTGTGTTTAATAACTCGTTTATCACAGCACGATGTTTGATCTCTGCCATTCCTGAAACGTCCCGTATGAAAAAAAAGAAATAACCTACGCATTTCGTAGGCACTTACCGTGATCGGATACAATGACTATGTTAACGCAGCCCAAAATGCCTTCCTTCTTCAGTTTTCGTAAAAAGCGACCAAGTGATTTGTCTACCGACCATATAGCCTCATCCAGCTAAAATAACTTTGCCAAAGTGTTGACAACAATTTTGCCTGATGTACCTCTCGACCAGTTGCTCGATGTCCTGTGTGGTCAGGCTCCAAGTTATAAGCCATAATTAGGCCAGGTCGTTTATCGTCATCGAGTTTGAGCCAATCGACTATCTGAATGCTTATTGCAACTAAATGGCTGGCATGTAGTGAATATTGAGATTATCTAAAAGGATTGTAGTCTGTATATACTGGCTATTCATTTCTGTACATTTAACATTTGAAGCCTTTAAGAAGACCCAAAGTGTCCAAGTGGAGTTAATATAAACTGGCAAAGACAGCAAGCGTCAAGTTTACCAGCTAAAGGCTTTAACTAAAGGAATTCCCTTGTTAGCGCAAGCTTTATATTTCCCCAAACTTCATCTGACTAAGTTATAGCCATTTATTTGGGCGCTGGGTAGCGCTGCAATAGGGGTGTTGTAGCCGAAGAGCTTCTGAAGTGCTTACGCTGTTCTTCATCCATATACTACATAAAACTTATATGCTACTATGCTTTTTATCTAAAAATTTCTCAGTGGACCGATAGAGCAAAAACTTCGCACACATTTCGATCCTCGCCACAGACTACCTTTTTGAGGCAATATACGAGGTCCTTATATCAGTTTATTTATTTGTTTACTCCCATCTAGGGAAATGAAAGGTTATCCTGCTTTTTCCATAGGAAGCGAAGTTCATCAGGAAGTACAAGAGCGCTAAGCGCTGCCCTGAAGACGGAGCAGAGGAAGGGAAAGACGAAGGATAAGGAAGAGCAAAGGCAAGAAATAGCAATAGCCGGGAGGTTAAGTTTACGACGCTTTGGAAACATGTATGTGCCTTCAACAAGATCGGTATGAACACACGATCCGAGCGGGATTGGACGCCAGCTAGTATTATTAGATTATCACGGTTTCATTTCAAAAAGATTTGCAATTGTTGCAAATTTTACAATATCCAGACGTGCTTGACTATCCAGGTCGGAAGCAGATCAATTTAAAGG